CTGATACTGACAGCCTGACCTCTCTGATTAGCAGGATTACATGTTTCAAATAGTTCTTGTGCTTCTAGGAAGGACCGTGATAATAGAATGACAGAGAGGTCAAGTGGCACGTGGCACACGGGCCAACGTGCGCTTTAAGCATCCTCATAGCATCAGGGTACTGACCTGAGACACATGTGACCTGACAATCACCCTCAATCAGAGGCTCAGCATGTGCAAGGTTCTTTTGTCAGACAAATTCTGAAGTAATGCAATGTGGCCTGATACGGTCATCTTATCATTTCTCTACCAATGTCTGCTGTCTCATATCCTTTGTTTATACTTTGACCAGTGACCTTAAAACCTTAGACATAGCTGCTGATTACATTAATTTCAAGGTGGCGTTATTGATTTTGCCTCCTGATGATAGCATTCTCCAACAAATTGACCTTAATCTGCTGTCTTTGCAGTCACTGGTCATGTCTGCAAAGACATACAAATGCTGAGCAAAGAAATGAAGTATTATTATTAAGTATCATAGAACAAAGTAAGAATAAATTTTTTCAGTAAGAGAGGATGGGACATTTTATGTTTTATAACAAATAATTGGAATATGAATTGGAATTAATTTACATATTTTAGGTTTTATTACATTTTTTTTTCTTTCTTTGGAATTTTACATGTGAACCTTTGATGAGCACAAAAATGAAAAATGTCTCATTAAAGTTTAGAGTGAGTCATCTACAATATTGGTGGATATATATATTGTATGATTTTGTGAATATTTGTCATATTATATATATTGATTCCATATTTGCTGTTATACTTAAGGTGCCTGTTTAATATCTGGCTTGGGATAACAGATGATAGTTAGTCTCACTGGTATTTCTGTCTTATTCAGTTGTCTTTTCTTTTGAATCAACATGGTCCACGTCAAATAAACGTATAAAATAAATGTTATTCTCTGAAAGGGAATGCTTAACGTGTCAACAATTAATTATGTAAAAACACAACACCTATGTTGACACTTAAGCAAATATTGAATACTGCCACACTTTTACTCAGATAAAATTTTGAATGCATGACTTACTTTTACTTGAAGTATAATTCCATTGCAGCACAGACAATTTTATTTAAGTAAAAGATTTAAGTACCTTTTCCATCTATGGTAGCAGGACCCACCAATACTCTTGTATAGAGTACCTACCGGCATCTGTAGATTCAGAACATACATGTAGTTATGTAAATGTTGGAGTCATGTGACAGGTTATGTTAAGTACATCTGTGATTCAAAGTTACACATGGAATGTCTATGGAATGAGGACACGCCATAGCAGTCACCTCATCTCTTATGCAATACATATGACTGTAACATAAAGAACATCTATCCACATTCCCATCTAACTGTGCTTTGTTGCAGAACCACTGCTGACCTTCAAAATATACATGCTTTTGTGTCGTACCAGATCACCCGATTTAATTGTGCAACACACACACACACAGTTACGTAGAAATGTGTCTATCTATCTATAGTAATGAAGTAATGAAGTATATTGAAGTATTGAAGTGTCATGTTCAGCATGTTTACCATTTTGGTTTAACTATTTTAGCATGCAATAACATTTGCCGATTAACACAAAACAAAAGCTCGGCTGATGTAAAGTGAAATTTTGGAGCCAGAAGAAAAGTCAGAAGAGTTTTTACTGACAATTGTCTATAGTTGTTGACACATTTGACTCAAAACCACAAATATTAACCTTGTGGTGGGGGAAGAGAAAAGTCAACTAATCACCAATGTCAATCCAGCTAATAGTATTTTGGTTAATATTTTATATTTCTCTCTTTATGTCTGATTGACAATCCCACATGCCATCCTCAGACCCATGCCTCTACCGTGGCTAAAAACTGCTGAGTAATGCCTCACCAACTAACCAAATGTTCCAAATATTATTACGTTTTTTATGATATTTTTATGTATCAGTCCCAGGATCAGTCATCAAGATCCCATGCTTTTACATGTATCAGTGAAAATGTAAAGAAATGTCCTATCTCACAAAGTGATTACAAAAACCCTGTGTGTAATCCTATAGACAACCAAAGGGCGAAAAATACTCCTTGATGGATGTACACTCAGAGAAGTCAAATGTTCATTTCTGTGAGAGATAAAATGAATGAGAGATTTAATTGAAGATAAAACCTTAAGTTAGACTATTGTCAGTTAAAGTAAAACGCTACATTTAAAAATTAAAATGTGGGTTCTGTTCAATTCGATTCGATTTGTATAACGTCACATCACAAAACACAATATCTCACTGGTGAGGTCCAGACCTTACAACTATTGAAAAAAGTGACAGTTCCCACAATGAACAAGCTCTTGGCAACAGCGAAGAGAAAACAATCCATTTTCTTTTACACAGACGTGCAAGTGCAATTACTCTGTGTTATTGCTAAACGTGTTTCAAATGTTACTTGAAAACAAAGATTGAAACTGTTCTGACTCCTCCACCCACAGGCATTGTCTCTTTGCTGTGCAGATTTATGAGTTTACTACTGAGGAATCTCCAAAGAAGATTATGATAACTGAGCTCAAGATGCAAGACAGAAAATGTGTCTGACTTGTCACTTTGAACAGATGAAGCAAAAATAATGGGCTTTGCAAACACAGCAGGAATTGGCTGCATACACACTCAGGTGCTACATATCTTCTCATCATGACTGTTGGATTGACAAAGTGTACCAACAGCTACCATGACATCTGGGCCTCTGGCAGAATGAGTCATCGTGTCATTCAAATGTTTCGTTTTTTAAAGCAACATAAACATAAACATTAACACCATTGTCTCCCAAAGATGGGTTCTGTGTTTTTGGGTAGTTCTCAGTAAGTTCTATAAACAGGATCTTTCTATCTGAGATCTATCTTTCTGAGATCTAGCTGAACTCAACCTAACATCCACAGTCAGGTGTCAAATGGTCACACGAAGCTGGTTATCAACTCGTTAAGTCAACCCAGGTTATTCTTATCAAGATGTGAGTATGCGCACGAAAGGGGCGGGGTTTACTGCATATGATCAATCACTGACATGAACAAGTTTGACTGACAGCAAAGCCTTATATTTCACAACAAGGATCAAACTATTATATTAAAAAAATAGGAGGAGAACATACACATTGTCCAGACTAAAAGAAACACAGTTACAGCTGCTGAATGCAAGAAACACATCTCTGATTGTGTGAATGTGTTACGGAGCCACAGGTGACATTTAGGGAAAAATATATTACGTGACCACGATATAATGGAAAGGAGATAAATAACTCAGGGCCAAGTAATATGGATCTGTTCTTTACCAACAAGACATGTGGAGGTGAAGTGAAGAATGGAGAGAGATGAAATGTTTCACTTAAGGACATGATGTAGCCTCTATAATGAGCATTAGTTTGACACACTGTCTGAACTGACTGAGGTCACTTTGTGGTGGAAACGTTACATGCGAACGTGACAGTCACAAGGTAAATCTGCCAGCTGGATGTATTATATGTATATGACTTGTTTGGTCTGTAGATTTGTAAATGTTTTGGCAAAAATAGCCATGACAAAAGAAAAGACCCAGAACAAATGCTGAAAATCAAAGCAAACGCTTGCTAAATTCTAAATAGCATCTGAGATTTGAAACTGTGTGAGGAATATCACAGAAGCTCACGAGTGAGTCTCATGAGCGTCTGAAGATGACTCCCTCACCAGCGGATTCATCTCTGTATCTGGGCAACAATATGATGTGAATCCTAACAAGATAAAACGAATGATCATCATTCAAGACAAAGACACTGACACTGTTGAAACGTTGGACAAAAACCAATTGTTCTGGGCCCATGTAGCATCTGTGTCTGGGTCTCATACAGCTTGTTCATTCATTATACTCAGTTTGGATTATTTCTTTTCTTTTTCTCAATATAAAGCCCTCTGTTGTCTTTATACCTTGTGCACTTGGGTTGATTGGCTAGGAAAGAAAGAATGAGAGTGAAAATACTGCCTGTATGATGTTTTCCAGCTGTGCGGCGCTTGGCCAGAACACAAAGCACAAAACAGACTTCCTTAAACACATACTAAATAACACAAACACACACACACACACACACACACACACANCACACACACACACACACACACACACACACACACACACACACACACACTAGTTTGCCACAGTGGACTGGATTAAAATGCACAAAACCCTGCAGTTGCATAACGTAAAAAAATCTCTTTTCTAGCTGGACAAGTGGTTTTATTTTGTTTTACAGACATGAAGTTGAAGCTTCAGGCTTTTAAACAATATAATTCCAAATAACATCTCCAGAGTACAAGTCAAACATGTAAAGGATTTTATATCTATGCAGTATCTCAGACTATCAACAACATGAATGAGAGCAAATGAGCAAGTTTCCAGAAGAGCAAGAAAGGCATCTAGTGGTACAACCGAGACACATCATGAAACAATTCACTGCACAAGAAAATGCATGCACACAAGCTGCATTGTGTTTAGACAGCATCCTCGCAGAATTGCTTTTATTTTTCAGAACCAAAAAAGTCACTAAAAGTCACTAAAAATATTTTGCAGGCACCTTAACCTGGACACATGGACTCGCACTCAAGCATTTATTTCAGATGACAAATTAAAAATCATAGGAATTTAAATTTGCGTCAATCAGTTTCAGAAAACAAAGACAAAGTCAATTTAACTAAAATGACCCTAAACATACATGGTGTTCTTAAAAAGATCCATAAATTAGTCTCTTAGTAACAACGAAAATGTTACTGTGAGAAAACGGAATCCTTGATACGCTCCCTGATACGGATCTGCACCAGGATTGGATTCTTTTCCTGACCCATCCTTTCACAAAGTATTTTGTGTGAAATGCTGCTAACTTTAACAGACAAACTGACAAACACAGATAAAAAAACATAGAACCATATAAGTATAACCACAAAACCAATTAAGTATAGAACCAAAACAAAAAGTCCAACATTTTCATAAAACAACTTTATTAATATTTTGTCCACATAAAGAGCAACACATTTTTAAAAGCATCTGCAGCATTTCTTCTCAGTGCAAGAACGAATAGAATCTGATCAGCTTTACTGTAACTGTGGTCGTCTAATCTAATACTATTCTCTAATCGCTGAAACCAAGACTTCGACTGAACCTCGTACCTGATCAGTAAGAATGGGATCTAAAACTCCACTCTCTGAAAACCTCCTTCAACATGGATCAATTACTTTCTGACAAAAAATATGGCAGTAAAATCAGTTTTACATCCCATTAATAAAGCTGAACTGATGACTGGATTTTGAAGAATTATATGAGCGCTTAAAGGCATATTTTTGAATTCCAATCACACAGACTTTGACTGACTGGAAGGAGTGAGTCGATGGATATACTGTCAGAAAATGCAGACCTAAACCACAGAAGAATTCTATAGGTAAAGTCTAATTTAGACTTTACCTAATGCCCCCTGACAGGCAGGTGCCTCCTACAGTATAGTGTCGCGATGCCTTCTAATTATAAGCTTCATTATAATCGATAGGAGTCACTAAGGGGCAGAGATAAGCACCTGGTCCCACACTGGTTTACCACCCATGCACAGGGTCAGGGAGGTTTTGTCTTCCTGCCACATAAATGACACGTCAAAGCTTTGATAGTAATATGACAACTAGAAACAAACCTCATGAATCAAAATGTCTGAAAAACAATAGACAACAAAAAATCAACGGATCTATTTGAGGTCAGTTATCCTGAATAATATGACATTGATGAAGAGAATAACTACCGACTTAAATAAAGCTCAGAATGAGTGTACAACTGTCATTAAATAACATCTTGGAGCAAATGGTGGGGAAACTCCTAACTACACTCTTAATAAATAGCTATAGGTTTCTCTTCATTCTGGTTAACATTGGAGAAAATCTTGATCAATTGCATTTTCATTTGGCTGATGAGCTGGACACCCAATATAGATCAATCTTCTATATCTATACACTGTGTATCTTCAATATGCATAGCCCTTAAAACACCAACATTCTTCAGCCAAGGACCTCCACCTGGTGGTTGAAATCAGGAAATACTGTACAGTAAAAAGTATCTGACCAAGACTCTTGATCAATTCTAGGAATACGTGACCCTTTTACACTATATACACACACGACAGAAAGCAAATCTCAAAACGTTAAAAGTTTGAAGGTTTAAAAGGGTACATCCAAAAATCGCAGGGAAAAGGGTTTGTGGAGGGGTTGAGCGTATTTACATTAAAAGATTACAAGCACACAAGTTAAAGGAGTCTACACAGTGACTGCACTGCACACGAAAAAAGCTAATAACATACAAGTCGAAGATGAGAGATAAACTGTGCTCAAGACTGATAGGAAGGAAGGAAACTAAGGGAAAGTAAAAGAAAGAAAGAGAGAAGAGAAAAAAGAGAAAGAAAGAAAGAAAGATTTGGCTCCATTGTAAGCTGCCAGCCCTCACCTAAGACACATTGGTTGTCGATTCAAACCTTTGCTGCAGTGCGCCATCTGCTGTACACAGTGGGAAGGTTTTGTCAGTACATTCGAGTGATGCTGCAACAAGTTTGGTGCTTCAAGCTACCAATCAATCAATCTTCAAGCCAAACCATGACTAAAATAGTAAATGTTTCAACATGGTTGATTCAAGAATACTGACTTCTCATCGAGGGATCTCTGACTGCATCTACATACATCCCACCATTGAGAGAAAATCCAGGACCGATTGAGTTTACAGACATAAAATGGTATCAGTGACATTCTTCATGTTCGCTCTTTCTGAAGTGCCCACTATACAGCTCATGGAGTGAAGTGCCTGAAAGAAAGCTGAGCCAAAGACGTTTAAGTGAAGAGTGATTGTCTGCTCAGGCATAAGGATTACATGAGCGCTGCAGTGGAGGGGTTTGGTCGACAGCATAAAGTATGAGGAGTGAGTGTGTTGGCATCTGATAACCTCCTGTTAAACACACAATCAGAGCAACCCTGAGCTAAAAAATACAACTTACAGGACCAGAGAACCAAACACCTTGTCCGGCCGGGTCGAGGACAACCTCTGGCTTTGTTTAGTTCTCTGGCCTGGATAAAGGGAGTCAGGAGACAGTCCTACAGGAGTGCAAACACTGCTGTTGTATTGACTACATGCTCCAGTTATCTGTAAGTGTGGCTGAGACCTGATGGAGTGCCTGTATTAGAGCCATTTTTGGAGTGTAGGTAGATTCTTGTCCATCCAGCGCTGATTTAGCCTGATTGTTTCCAAAGCTTCCTGTACGCTTCTCATCTGAGAGCCACGCTCCTTCAGGCCAGAGAAGAAACTCTGAACCTGCACCACACACAAAAGCACATTCAGATGTTTGCCAGAGAAAAGCAGTCATCAATAAAGCAACAGAAGCGTTCTATGAACTCTTCACATCTCCTACAAGCAAGTGCACAGAGCCTCAAATACATTATTTATGTATCCTGCAGAGAAAACAGTGAAAACATACCTGGTCAAGGTGCGCTTGTGTAGAGAACTGGAAGGTGGCAGATTTGACGATTGTCTGGATGGCAAAGGAGCCCACAGAAAACCTACAACCAAAAACACAATGATGCTGATTTTATTTAATCTTTTCATGTTCATTTGAGATAATCCTTAAATGTATTCACAGTAATAAGACATATGAAGCTGAAAAGGGGCCACTCACTTTTCTATGAGTCGGTCCCAGTTCTCTTGTACAAAATCCCAGACAAACAAGTGGCCAGCGAAGCCTTTAACCATGGTGTTGATGACCAATGGCAACTCCTGTGTCTGGATGATGTTCCCGCTCAGACCTGCTTTAAGGATCCTAAACAGACCAGAAACCTGCTCTGTTCAAATCCTCCTCAGTGCATCAACAACACTCACTTCATGATCATCACTTCCACACAGGATCTCAATAGATTATTTACCAAACTCTTCAAAGATTTTCCTGGTCCTAATTCTTTAACGAACTCCAATTACACCAATAAATTGCTCATGCTAATGTATCGGCCGATATCATCTTATTGCAGACTTTGTATTTGTGAATATATCATTGAATAAGCTATTTAAGTATTAAAAGTACAGAAATGCAAAAGCGGTGAAGTCAATTCTGGCTGTTTTGAAAATGGATTTACTTTGAAATTTGTTTCACAAACACAGAGACATACGCTCACGCTTACCACACTAACTGCCGTATATTCTGAGTGGATGCCAGCCCCTGTAGCATTTTTCTCTTGTCTGCATCGTAGGTGGCGTGTCCATACATTTGAAGCAAAGTTTCCCAACCTTCATCTGACTGAGCAGCCACAGTGAACACAACTTGCTGCAGATCACCTGGTATACTACAGAAATACATACAGGAGGAAGAAATATGCAAACATATTCATTTTTACTTCGACAACTCAAAAGGTAATTTCTATCTGTAAATATGTGTCCTACACTGCTCACCCTGTTGCCACCATGACCCTGACCAGGTAAAATTAGGTAACGTTTTTTTGTGTGCTTTCACGTACCGTAAAGTCCCATTGGACTCGACATGCTGTTTGAACAGGGCTTTAGCTTGCTGAATGCATTTTTTTTCATTCAGACTACACGCCATCTGCAGAAGGGCTGAGCGCAGCTCCTGTTTGGACACACTCTCCTCCTCTCCCCATGTTTGTTTGTCCATCAGAGACCCAAAATTGTGAAAAATATAATTCTGGAATTGTGTAAGAGAAACAATATGGACATTAACATTAGTACACACACACTTACCTCAACTAATTAGCTCTATTTTCATATTGGCACACTTTGTGAGAAACAGTGGTGCAAAAGTGTTTTTCTGTGGAGGTATTTTCCTTCACTACACCAGTTCGGTATCTTGGTGTCTGCCGAGGAAGAAGAGGCTCAGAAGAGGGTGTGGTGTCACCGAGCTATAAACTGTAATTTTGGTGCTAAGAATGAATGTGTTTTGCACAATCTGCACCTGTTCACTGATGTCACATCATAATTTGTCCACTTTCAGGGATATCACACACATACAAACCTTCATACGGGCCACAAGAGCTTCCTCCTGTCTTTTGTCCAGCAGCCTGTGGATACTTTCGAGCTGTAACAAGGCTTCCATCACAGGAGTAGTCTCTGTTTCATTTGACATGTAGTTCAACAGAGTGAGGACTTGATGGAAGGATACCCTTCCCAGTCTGTTGAAAATACAGGAAAGTGACTGAGGAGCGAGGTGGAGAGCAAAGAACTCGACAATACTCCTCCACTTGTGTTTTTTTTGAAAGAAATAACATTGACAATTTCTGAATGGTCCCTCTTACCTGGAGAGAGCAAAGATGTTGTGTATGAGCGCGGCACGGTCTTCATGTGTAAGAACACTGACGTTGTTGGACAAAGCATCTTTAAGAGCAGCCCAGCCTTCATTACTGTAGTGCACGATGTAGAAGCCTGAGTTCCTGTAGTTCAACTTCAGCCACTTTACACTTTCTGGCAGCTTAAAAGTGCCTGAAATCAGAAAACAAAGACACATTTAGCTTTTGACATGACTGGCAGACCTAAGATTGAGAAACTTAATCAAGCTGAACAACACTTTTTGTTTTACCTGTCTTTGTCTTCAGATTAAAAACTTGTCTGCACTCAGGGGCAAAACTACAGCTGTCGTTTACGTACGTCACCGGTATATTCCACAGGCTAAAGAGAGTAAACAGTATATTTATGGTTGTGGTATCGTTCTATGATCTGTTGTGTAAGTGTGTGGTAACGTTACACACCTGGAAGTATGAGTGGCATTGTCAGATGTGAGGAGGAAGTGCTCTTGTGTGAGGGTCACTTGATCTCCCTTGCGGCTTACAGTGACCAATGGGAAGCCTTTCTGTGAGGTCCATGAGCTCATCATCTCTGATACATTCTGGTGCTGTGTTGACACCTGCGGATAAGAAGAGGAAATACAGTGTATGCTGTTTTTATTTTCTGAAGCAAAAATGGGATATCCTAAAACTGTTTACACAGTTCACAGATTCCATCCAAACCACATCTTCTGACCAACAACCCAAACCCCAACCCTCTGTGAATTTGAATTAGCCTTTAGGCCTTACCATACGGCCCCAAAGCAAGTGTCTTTGTCAGTTTCAGACCAATGAAAGTTGTCATTTTCCCATCCAAAGCCTGCTAAGTTTAAAGCAAATGCACTTGCCCCATGGGCATTTTGGTCTTAAGATAATGTGTGGTCAAGGGCATTTTGGGCACAATGTTATCTTAGGACAGTAGAATTAGTAATTACTAGACTGTCAAACAAAAACCTGGTCTGAAGTCAGTGCTATTTTAAGTGTGCAGTTTCAAGATAGTAATAGGTGCCTATATAGGCTGGTGCAGAAACCCACTGCTGCTCAGATCACATGCTGTCACTTTGAACTTGAAGATCAGTTTCCTCGGCAGAGGTGTCTGGAAAATCGTTTTTCATGTTTCGTCAATAAAGTACATTTTCATTTAGGACTAGTAGCATGATAGGGGAGGCAGTAGCTCAGTCCATAGAGACTTGGCTTGGGAACTGGAGGGTGGCCAGTTCAAGTCCAGCATGGACGGAAGTTGGAGAGGTGCCAGTTCACCTCCTGGGCACTGCCGAGGTGCCCTTGAGCAAGGCACCGAACCCCCCAATTGCTCCCCGGGCGCCTTCATGGCTGCCCACTGTTCCGTGTGGTCACTGTGTGGATTGTGTTCCTGTGCAAGTCTATGTGCAAATTAAGAATCTACAGAAGCAGCAAGGGAAAATAACGAGTCGACATTCTGTCATTAAACTGTGTGGAAGCCTTTCTGACAGCAATTACCCAACCTACTGTTAACATCTACAATGTCCTGTGCTCTGGCTTTCCTATAACATTTTGACATTATCAACATTCACATAAGTCATTTTCTGTTCTTGTAGTGTCCAATAAAATCCATAAAAGTGGCTTGTACCAATACACAAACACACACACACACCTGTGTAAGGCTGTTCCAGAGGTCGGCAGTGTCTGTGTTTAATCCACTGAACTGTTTGAGGTATTGAATGATCCCTTTTCTGAACTGTTGGTCCCCTGGCAGGGACGCGTTCAGCATAAGAAGAATGGATGCACCCTGAAGACAGAGAAAGTGAGGCTCAGAAATGCTGGATAAAATTGTTTGGTTAATTAATGAAAACCGTCTATTTCTCTAGATACATATTTCAAGTAAAAGGGTACCTTTTCATAGGAGACAGAGTCGAACATCTCTTCCACCTGTTCCTTTGTGTTAACCTCTGTCGACACAGCATGGGAGGAGTTAAGTGCATCTTTGTCCATGGCTCTGAAACGCACTGCCAGGAACAAATTACCCTGCAAAACACAACACAGGACTTACTGCCAAGACACAGTGAAGCACACAACATGCTCTGCTTGAAAGCATCCAACAGACTTTCTCCACAGGGGCTGTATGTGTGAACGCAAATGTCCGAGTGAGAGCCTTCAGAGTTTCTGCGGACTTTCTCTGCCTGGCCCCCTAAAATAAAGTCAGCAGAAAGTCCGAAGGAGCCGATGTGAAAACACAGCAGGAGATCCTCTGCTGGATTCTCCAAGAGTTTGTGGGGGGGTTGATGGAGCTTTTAACATGCAACAGACGCAAAAATGTTAAGATAAGAGCCGATGCCCGTGTTAATGTGATGTAAACATTCATTTCTCGGCACATGATCTCCACCGAGAAATGAATGTGTTACACCCTATCTCTGCCTGATGCACCACCCCTTGCCTGAATCCTCCAGAAGATTTGTTGCTGTTGTGAACGTGTCTGGGCGAAGAATCTCTTTCAATTGTGAAAGGGAGCCTCTGGATAAAATCCGGGCCCAATTCTCTAGAGATTCTGAAAGGTCATGTCTGAAAACAGCTTATGTGAGAAGTAATTTATAATCCAGATGCGAAAGCTTACAATGTCCAGCTGAGGCATCGTTTTCTGCAGTGACATGTACTGCATGTAAGTGGCAAAGCCTTCGTTGAGCCACAGGTCGTTCCACCAGCTCATAGTCACCAAGTTTCCAAACCACTGCAAGACAACATCAGAGATAGGTTACAACCTGTATCATCTTCACTGTATCTGCTCTTTTCACAACCACAAAGACGGACAAAATTACCTGATGAGCGAGTTCATGCGCTACGACTGAAGCAACAACTTGTTTCTCCAGAGGGGAGGACTGTTTGCCCACCAGCAGGCTGGTCTCACGGAAAGTGATGAGTCCCCAGTTCTCCATGGCTCCTGCCAAGAAGTCTGGGATGGCTACCAAGTCTGGCAGAAGAGAAAGAATGAGCATATTGGGCATGTAAACAGTGAAGAAAAGGAAAAACAATCAAAGGAGGTTAAATGTGTATTTGTGTGAAATGTGTAGGTGTGTGTACTCGCCTAGTTTTTTGAGGGGGTAGTCTATTTCAAAGAACGTATTGTAGAACTCCAGCAGTTGGGAGGCTGTTTCCAGAGCATATTCAGTGTGCTCCTTCTTCTCTGGCACAGAGTACACAGATACCTAAACGATTCATCCAGAAAGTTTATCAGCAGTTACACAACCGCAAATATATGTAGATCATATTAAGCCAGAACTAAAAAACAAAACTCACAAAATTTGTGTCAGACCTACTTGAATGTTTGAGACATTTTTGCTGATCGGGGTGAAATTAGCAACGATGAAGGCCACCAGATAGGTACTCATGTTGACAGTGGTTTTTTCAAACTCATCTTGGATGAGGCCACCAGAGAGGGGTGTGGATTTAGCCTGAAATACACAGCACAAGGACAAGATGACTTAGAGCTAATTAAGACTGCTGTGGAAGACAGTACTGCAAACACATACAGCACCAAACACATACAGCACCAATATGTAGTCTGTTAACTTAAATATCCTCATGCTTTGACCCTAAAATCCCAGTTGGCACATTAATGACTCACAGGTCCCTCAGGAAAAGAGGGGACATAGTATAGAGAGTGAAAGTCAAGAATCTACTGTGGTTGTTTGAGTGAGAAATACTGTATTTTGGAGCTGCCGTTAACAATGTAGTCACATGCTAGTAATAATTAAAACCATAATTAAAAACATCTGTTGTAAGGTGGTGATGCTGAACACAGGCACTGATACATTCTGTTTCTTGCTGGTAAACTTTAAGAAAGATTTGCTAACAGTCACTTGTAATTGGAAAATGAAATGTCCCACAACTGAAACCAAAAGTTCTTCAAACCTGTGTAAGGTTTAAAGTCACTTACTTTGACCATTAAATAAAAAAGGATGAAAGAGAGCAGCTGTCAGTGTTTCAGTTTAAAATTCAATTGTCAAATACTACAAGCCCTTCGAGTTTTTGAATTCGAGAGTAGAAAAAAATTGTGTCAACCAAATAAATTGAAGAACCCATTTAGAAAGCAGGATGTTTCGACACTTGGTTACATATTGTTAAGATTAACAGCTCTTAAGTAATGTTACAGTACCAAAGGCATGTTGGAAACAGCCGTGTAGTCTGTTTTTCTGTTGATTGTAATAAGAAAGGTGGCTTTGAAAGATGGTTCATCGAAGCAAGGGAAGGCCTTCCTGGCTGACAGTGGTTCAAACTGGGTTGCTGCAAGAACACTAGTGACAAGAGAGAGACGAGCATGATTATACTGAAATAACAATTTAGATAAATGCGGTAAAAACAATAAAAAACGTTTTTCACTTATTTTTTACAGCACTGATTTGTTAGTACTCCTTGAGCTGAAGTAGTTACAGCAAAGACTGTTAGTCAAGCATACTTTTTGTTTCCATCTTTATCAGTGTAAGAGCTGTTGTAGAAACCATCATAGGTCTGTGAGAAGTTGGCAGAGTACTCCAGGGTCAAAACACAGTACTGGTCTGACTTCAGCTCTGCAGAGAATTTAATAGCAATCTGCTGTCTGGGTTTGTACTCCAGTATAGTCACATCATTGGCCTCCCCATCACCCAGCTGGAAGAGAGTAATTATCAGTTAAAAATTAGTACAAGCATAAAAAACAGTATAGAGTTCTGTGTACAATGATGGATGAGCCAATCCCACCTTGAATGTAGCTTTGGTAATGTGCAGATTAGCACTGTGCAGGATGATACGCTTGGTGTTGTGCAACACATACATGTTGATGACAGTGCGCCCAGTGAAGGTCATGTTGTCGAGGTCAGGGCTCAGGGTAAGGTTATAGCTGAGAGGACGTATACTATGAGGCAGCCGGAACTGGGCCCATGGAAACAGTTCGCCATTGGTGGCAATAGGGTAGACTATCTCCTGGGGAGTGGTGTTGTTTGGTTTACGACAACCTGCCTGCAATAGGATGGAGGGTAGAGCCAGGGAAATAGGTGTGTGATTGAACATGACAGAAAAAAAGGAGAAAATGTCTGAAAAAGATATTTGCATATTAACAATCATACATGGTATTGCAAAAGCAACCCAAAAAGAAATAGGGAATGGTTTTCTTACTCTGGTGAAGGTGCATTCGGGTAGGAAGTACAGTACCATGGTCATAGAGGCCACTATAACAAGGAATAACACACATACAACCATTGTCCTGGCTGAAGGTCGTGAACATGACCTGAAACCAAGAAGAGATTTACAACACTTTTTAAAAAGGATGCAAAAGAGCAGCAGTGTTTTTAAAGGAGTTGACAGTGGTGCTGTGGAGGACTGAGTTAAAGTTTAAGTTTCACACTTGTGCTGCTCAGTGGACATAAGCCCATTCCCATGCATGTAAACATTTACATATTTTGACATAACATCTTTTTTCAGTATAAGGAGATTTTATAAGCACACAGTAAACTATTATACCAGGAAAAAGTGTCATTACAATAAGTTTTAATGATGAAAACCTGAGAAAACTCTCCCTTGTCCCTATTTGTTATTGTTCAGGAAATACAAAACGTAACAAACCCTAAAGAGCATATTGTTCTTACAGATGTTAGATATCCATGCATTTATACTGGATTTTGTGATCGCTAATTGAGAGATTAGGGCAGATATGTGATTTATTGACTTCATCTGATCAGCAATGATGAAGATGGTCTCAATAAAAAACAATATTTGAAAGGATTTCCTTCTTTACTTAGCTAGGTTTCTGACAGAGCCTGAAATGCTTGTCTGTAAACAACTGGTTGTTCACCAACTCCCTCACACGTTGTTTGATGATTCAATGTTAACAGCTAACAGAGATTACCTGTGGTAATGTAAATTGCTGGTATGTGTTTGTTACTTCCATCTACAGTTAATGAGGCTTAAGAAGACAAGCTTATCATGTGTCACCAAAAAAAGAAAGGTTTGGTTAAAGTAGCTGGACAATTACAATGCATTCCCTTCAATTCAACACTTGGTTCAACCAGGTTTCACAGATGCTTATGATATTGCATGCATGATTACTTATGCACGAAAAAAATGTCGTGAGGCAAACCTTTCTGGAAAAAGATCTTTATACCATCATGCTAAACAGCACCCAATCCAGAAGTCAAGCTTTGTATTACCTGGGTGGATTCTGTCTTGTGTACGGGGAAGAGTTGGGTCTGTGAGAAGAGCTACGATTCATGAAGGACATGCCCAACAGACGGGCTGAAGACTCGCAGTCCTCCTCTTCCTCATCCATTTCATTCTCTCCCAGGCCTCGAACAAGCAAACGTGAACTACGAGGTTCAAACACTACCTCATCTGGGTCAAGAGCAGGAAACGTCTGCCGAGAGCATGCAAAGTACACACCTTTATTCTCCAGTTATGCTGCGCAGTATGATGTTAATACATGGATTAAACTGCTATCCACAAGTGTGAGTCTTCCTCAAATTTACTGAACATTATTTATATTGCTAATTACCAATCTATTAACATTATCAGATTCACAGATGAAAGCACTTGAGGGATTTGCAGAATCAAGCAAATATGTATTTCTGAGATATGCAAATTAATGAGCCAGGCTGGGTCCTTGAAGTGAAGGCGTGCATAGCGTGCATAGCATGCATGGCATAAGATGAAATGAGCGTACCGGAAATGCAGCAGAGTCTTTGGCTAAATCCACGACATCAGGCTCCTCTTCAAACATGCTGTTCTCAATCATGTTCCTGGGCAGGTTGGCTCGCTCTACAAAACACACACAGGAAGAGAAAATAGACAATGATTTTTAGAAAGAGGAAATGAGAGAGGTGTGAAAAAGAAGAGAGCATATTCCTGATGGTTAAATACACTGAAACACTCATAGACAGTACAGAGACAGTCTGTCCACACTGTGTTTTAGGGCAGCAAAACACAAGTGCCATGAAGACACAAGCAACACAAAGGCCTGTTGTCATTGATTGTGCAGGCATCATAAAACCACATGTAAAAAAAGCAGGGGGTTTCTACAGGTTCCTGTAAGTAAACCTCCTGCAGTTTTCCCTAATACTTTGACCTACATAGCTGATTAAGCAGTTACATTAAAGTATTGCTATTAAAAAGTCTGTAAAGACAGAAAGCCCCAATTTCTTTATGAAAGCTTTAGTTACAACTATTCTTCATTTGACCACCCTATACTTCCCCAAACTAAACTGCATCTTCAGCATCATAAGAGTTCCCTCAAAAAAACATGTGATTTGCCTGACTGCTACATTCTCCCTTTAGTAATTCTTTAAACAATCAGAAGCATGTTCAACTTCCTAATTTGATTATAGCCAAAGTGGTAAAACGCTAAGCAGTGCATTTCACCCATTCTACCTCACGTTCCACTCGTGCTTTTATGAGTTAAAGACAACGCTTTTTTTCAGTCTTAGTTGCTGATAAAGTTAAGTGGAAATTAATAGGATGCAGACAGTGAGAGCATGTTGTTCACAGAGACACAAGGACGCCAAGAAAAAATGAGCTGTGATTACACAAAAGGAAGACAAGTGCTCAGAAATGTGAGAGGTGAATTTACTTCCTGGTCGTTACTGTGCAGTGTTTCTGATATGACTGTATGGGCTGTCACTGTGTCACTGTCTGGACTTCAGTGCTGTGGTAGGAATGTTTAAAAATAGACTGGATCTGAGTAGTTGGTTGTGTGTAATAGACAGAGAAGGGTATGATAAAAATTTTACCATCCCCAAAAAACACACATCAAACTTAAATGACAGCTAAGGGGTATGGTTATGCTTTTATGTTGATTGTAATGTCATATAACCAAGACGAGAGAGGCACGTAGCGGTTATTATGCGGTTATAATGATTGTGAATGTGAATAACACACAACTCACAACTCCTGATGCTTTGTCAAGTGTGTATGTAAATACAGCAGTAAGGCATGTTAGCTGCTGACTGTGCTCTTCCTGTTTTCTGAAAACATCTATCAGCTGCGAGGCCTTAGAGGGTTAGGGTTAGAGAACTACAGTTGAATACATGTCTGAGTTGGACAAGAGTATGTCCACTGATTGATACCAAGTAAAAAAAGACTGTTATCTGTTGGTTGGATGGTCAAGAAAAATGGCAAGGAAGAAGGAGCTCTGCCTTTCTCTATCTCTAAAAGTGATTTGAAATGTAAGCTTGAAAAGAGAACAAAGACACACACACAAAAAACAGGAAGTCAAACTACTTTGATTTGGTGTTTGCTGCTTCCAGGTCAAAATCTGAAATGAATCAACATCCACAGAGAACAACCCCTCTTCTTCCCTGAGAGCTGTTGTAGTGTGTGGTTGTGTGTGTGTGTGTGTGTGTGTGTGTGTGTGTCTGTGTGTGTGTTTGTCTTTCTGTTTGTTTTAATAAAGCCCTGGACGCCCTAGGGCCATAGCAGAGGTTATAAGGGAGCTGGCTGCTGGTTGGAGCCAGAGCTGAGAGAGCATGACTTATCAGCTCTCCAACCAAGACAAAACATTATCAAACCAACAGGCTTCAAATGGGCAAACAGTGCTGCTGCTGCTGCTGCTGCTGTGCTTGAACAGACAATTTGAACCTTGACAGTGACAGATGTCTCAAGACAGACATGTGGTTTTAACTTTCTTACAGAAAACAACTACATGAAAATCTGCTTTGTGTTTTGAGAAACAGTCATGTGCAGCAAAATATTACCATGCCTCTGCAGCACTGTCAACACACTGACAATGTGTTGAAGTTAGCTTCTGAGAATCCCTGAACCATAGACAACAACAACAAAACACACAATTACACAGAAGATACAAAGGCAGCTTTCATTAGGGTTTCCAGTAGTCAAGTCCAGCCATGTGTCCTCCGGTAAATGTCACTGCCAGCGAGCCTGCAGCTAATGTCCTGTTAGTTATTAGCTGGCCTGCTTCTGTTAGCTTCCTGGTGCTGTACACATCCAGCTTCCTTACCTGCACTGTTACTGTCGAATGGATCCATGGTGAGGACACGTCAGAAAGCTCCTCTCGTCCCGAACACGTCCACAGCGGCTCCACGGACGCGATGTGTTAGTGTGTCTGGCCACGACCCACCTCAGGCAGCCACACGCTCACAACACACAGCAGCCGCCCGTCCTCCCTTGCACTAACGTTAGCTCCTACGTAGCTAGCTTGGACCGAGACAACTTCCAACAATTGGAGCTGACTGAGGGACATTAATTCAGCTAGCGTTAGCTCGTCTCCACAACTTTATCCTCCATGGCTGTTTACTGAGCGGGTTTGTCTAAAATCACAACGCTACGGTAGAAATACGTAAACAATTCTTATTCCGACACGAAACGAACGAACGCGCAAATGTCACTTTGTTTCCTCTCTGACCAGTTGTTGACAACCGCCCATCAAATTAAGACACTCGCACCCTATTGGACGATGCTGACGAGGGGCGGGGCCGGGATGTCACACGCACACCATTTAAATCAACATTAAATTATCACTTCTTATGACTCAAGTAGTTAATATGAAGGACTACTTATTCCTGTGCGCTTAAATATTACATATTATAATAAGAATTATCATACAACTTTATTTCTACATAATTTAAGAAATAAATGATAAAAAGAAATATGTAAAATAAACATCATCTGTTCAAACCGGTTGAAACGTTATATGTTATAAACAGGTAAAGTTCTGGCAAGTTTAATCTCTTAAGGCAAAGAATTCCAGAGCCTCAGGGTCCTGATGGAAGTCACCCTAAGTCACCAGCCTTGACTTGGAACTATCAGTCAGGGTTAGGTGGACGATCTTAGATTACGGCTTTGAGCAGAAGGAGTTAGAAGCTCCATAATAAACCTGGGGGCCGGACCATGATGAGCTTTAAAAGTTATTAAGATAGTCTTAAATCAATCCTAAATTTGACTGACAGCCAAAGAAGGGAGGCAAGAATTGGAGAGGTATGGGCCGTACACTTTGTGTTGGTTCATGCCAAACCTCAAGCACCACAAACCTTAACACTTAAATGAATAGTTCAAATGATAACTACCAAGAATAAATATACACGCAAGTACAAACACAATGAACCAATTTATTGTCTGTTTGGTGAAGAATCCATTTATGTGTTTATGATGGAATGGGTCTCTTTCTCTCTCTCTCTCTCACTCACACACACACACACACACAAACACACACACACACACACACACACACTCACATAGACACAGTCATAGTACAAACTAGCTCTAGCTCTATAATAATATTTTTATCTTAATCAATTTAATTCTCCCTTAAAACTTACAGTCTTAAAACACTGTACAGCGATGTCAAGCAAATTACAATTTACAAATAAAAACACACATACAAAATCAAAAAACATAAATCATCCTTAATATGGACAATGTCCACCACCACCTCCGTTGCTGCTGTGCTTCACTTCATTTGCTCATGGAGCCAGTTTCTCAGAGTCTCCAGGTTCCTCTGAATCCAGCGAACATTTTTCTGCATGTTTTCAAGGGCAACCTGAGTAGCTCTCAGCTGAGATGACTGCTCTTTGATGGACTCAAAGAAGGACTGCACCTGTGGGTCAAACACACCTGAATTTACACATATGCATACAAGGACACAACTGAAAAGTGGCAGTATAAAAATGTGTTATTGATTTTACTGAAAACAAATTGACACTTCACTGTTTCACCATAAATACATATACGTATTTCTGATATTGCCAATTCTGATTGATATCTACATCGCCTGTGGAATAATGATTATAAGATTTTAGAGTGTATTTACTTCAGTGAGCTCCTCTGTAGAGTAAAACTGGCCTGTGGTGCCAACGATGACGTTTCTAATGCAAGATGAGGCCAAGTGGAACCTGCAGGTCAGAAAACACAACAGTGGCAATAGTTAGAATATATGAATATATCTTTAATACACACAAGAGGGTCCAAATGTCTGACACAACATTCCAGTTCACTTGAAGTGGAGAGAGAATGGTCTTATCTTGACCTGTTGGTCTAATCAGGTCAAAAACCTGCTCTATTTGTTACTGGATTGAACTTGCTCCCAACTCAGAAGACCGGACCAGAGTACAAATACTTGATGAGTAACAGAATGTGTTTTTGTATTTTATATCACATGGTTTTACTGAAAACATTCTGTGTTTTCATTTGTAGTGTCTCTCGTATGATATACTCACTTTTTAACCAGCATGTCCCAGTTGTTTTTGACAAAGTTCCAGGCGAGGTGATGTCCCTGCGCGTTCCTGCTCACCATCAGGATGAGACCAGACAGGTCCTGAGATCGAATCACCTTCCCTTCCAGTCCCAACTCCAGCAGTCTGCAACACACACACACACACACACAC